GTCCCCTGCATCGGCAGGCGGACTCTCAACCACTGCGCCACCAGGGAAGCCCCTCTACTTTTTTTTTCAATTTCTGTAATTGTTTAAATTGAAGTATACTTGACTTAACAATGTTTCAGGTGTATAACAAAGTGATTCAGTTATATATATTTTCCATTATCGGGTATTACAGGACATCCAATATAGTTCCCTGTGCTATACAGTAGGTCCTTGTTGTTTATCTGTGTTTTTTTGGTTTTTGTTTAAGATTTTTTGATGTGGACCATTTTTTTAAATTTATTTTTATGTATTTATTTTTGGCCGCGTTGGGTCTTCGTTGCAGCGCGTGGGTTTTCTCTAGTTGCGGTGAGCCGGGGCTACTCTTTGTTGCAGTGTGCGGGCTTCTCATTGCGGTGGCTTCTCTTGTTGCAGAACATGGGCTCTAGGTGCATGGGCTTCAGTAGTTGTGGCTCACAGGCTCTACAGCACAGGCTCAGTAGTTGTGGTGCACGGGCTTAGTTGCTCCGTGGCATGTGGGATCTTCCCGGACCAGGGCTGGAACCTGTGTCCCCTGCATTGGCAGGCGGATTCTTAACCACTGTGCCACCAGGGAAGTCCCTGACGTGGATGATTTTTAACGTCTTTTTTGAATTTGTTACAGTATTTTTTCTGTATTATGTTTTAGTTTTTTGGCCCCAAGGCATGTGGGATCTTAGCTCCCCAACCAGTGATTGAACCTGCATCCCCTGCATTGGAAGGCAAAATCTTAACCACCACCCTGCCAGAGAAGTCCCTGTTTATCTGTTTTATACATAGTAGTGTGTGTATTTTAATCCCCAACTCCTAATTTATCCCACCCTGCCCCGCTTTCCCCTTTGGTAACCGTAAGTTTTCTATGTCTGTGAGTCCGTTTCTGTTTTGTAAATGGTTCATTTGTATCATTTTTTTAGATTCCACACGTAAGTGATATCATACCACATTTGTCTGACTTACTTCACTTACTTTGATAATCTTTAGGTGCATCCATGTTGCTGCAAATGGCATTATTTCATTCTTTTTTATGACTGAGTCATATTCCATTGAGTATATGTACCACATCTTTACCCATTCACCTGTCGATGGACACTTACATTGCTTAGGTTATTGTAAATGGTGTTCAGCCTCCACTTTTAATTCTAGTTCTCTTACTATGTCCTGCACATCTGTAGTTACTTCCTTCACTGAATTTTTGAACCCCTCAAAGTCATCCATGATGGCTGGAATCACCTTCTTCCAAATTCCTGTTAATGTCAACATTTTGATTTTGATACATCCTTCCCATGAATCACAAATGTTCTTAATGGCATCTAGAATGGTGAATCCTTTCCAGAAGGCCATCAATTCACTTGCCCAGATTCACCAGAGCAGAGTCACCATCTGCGGCAGCTATAACCTTACGAAGTGTATTATTTAAATGATAAGAGTAGAAAGTTGAAATTCTTCCTTGATGCATGGGCTGCAGGATGGGTGTTTTGTCAGCAGCCATGAAAACAGCATGAATCTCATTGCCCATCTCCAACAGAGCTCTCGGGTGACCAGGCACATTGTCAACGAGCAGTTGAAAGGAATCTTCTTTTTCTGAGAAGTAGGTCTCAACGGTGGGCTTAAAATAGTCACTAAGCCATGTTGTCAGCAGATGTACTGTCATACAGGTTTGTTTTTCCATTTTTTTAGAGCACAGGCACAGTTGATTTACCATAATTCTTAAGCGCCCAAGGATTTTCAGATGGTAAATGAGAATTGGCTTCAACTTAGTCACCAACTGCATTAGCCCCTAACAAGAGAGTCTGTGGAGATGGCTGTGGAGATGGCTTCTGTCCTTCAGCCTCATGAACCAACTCCTCCTGGCTTCAGACTTTGCTTCTGTGGCTTCCTCCCCTCTCTCATCCCTCGTAGAATTGAAGAGAGTTCGGGCCTGGCCCTGGATCAGGCTTTGGCTGAAGGGAATGTTTTGGCTGGTGTGATCTTCTGTCCAGACCACTCAGACTTTTTCCGTATCAGCAGTAAGCATGTTTGGCTTCCTTATCATTCACGTGTTCACTGAGGTAGCACTTTTAATTCCTTCAAGAACTTTTCCTTCGGCTTCGCAGCTTGGCTGACTGTTTGCTGCAGGGGCTTTAGGTCTGTCTCAGCTTTCGACATGCCTTCCTCACTAAGTCATTTCTAGCTTTTGAGTTAAAGTGAGAGACGTGCAACTCTTCTTTTCACTGGAACACTTAGGGGCCACTGTAGGGTTATTAATTGGCCTAATTTCAGTATTGTGTCTCAGGGAAGAGGGAAGCCCGAGGAGACGGAGAGAATCAGGGGAGCGGCCGAGAGGTGAAGCAGTCAGTGCACACAGGATGTTTGTGGGTTAAGTTCACCATCATCTATGGGTGTAGTTAGTGACGCCCCAAAACAGTTACAGTGGTAACGTCGGAGATCACGCATCACAGATAACATGACAAATGTGATAATAATGAAAAAGCTTGAGATATTGTGAGAATTACCAAAATGTGACACAGAGACACCAAGTGAGCAAGTGCTGTTGGAAAAATGGTGCTGATAGACTTGCTGGGTGCAGGGTCACCACAGACCTTCAGTTTGTAAAAAGAGGCAATCTCTACAAAGTGCGATAAATCGAGGTCTGCTTGTCTGTTTCTAGGTACCCCACCCCACTTTGAGAATACGAGACAGGGAGAGTTCTGTGGGAATAACAAAAATAAGTTATTTTCTGGTCTTTCACATTTTGTTATGTAATGACTGTTATTTCAGAAAGATGCAGTCGGCCCTCTGTATCCATGGGTCCCACATCTGTGGATTAAACCAACCTTGGATGGAAATACTCAGGGGGGAAAAGAATTCCACAAAGTTCCAAAAAGCAAAACTTGAATTTGCTGTGTGCCAGCAACTATTTCCACAGCATTTACATTGCTTTAGGTATTATAAGTAATCTAGAGGTGATTTAAAGTGTCCTTGAGGGTGTGTGTAGGTTATATACAAACAGTATGCCAGCTTGTGTAAGGAACTTGAGCACCTGCGGATTTTGGTACCCACGGGCGGCCCTGGAACCAGTCCCCGTGGAATGCTGAGGGACGACTGTATTAACTAATTCACTAATTTGTTTTAAATTTCTACTCTGAGAACCCTATACCCCAGGCTTGCGTCGGCAGCTGATCCCTGAAAGCCACAGTGCTGCTTCTCTTGGCCGGAATTGTACGTGGATTTCACAGACTGTGCAGGGTGCAGGGAGCCAGCTCAGCCACGTACTCTCTTGTGTGGACTTTTGGATCAGAGCATAAGAACTTAGATAAGAAACTCTTCACCTTGACCACAGAAATATAAGTAGACTCGCAACTCATGAATTTTTCAGT